TGAAACCGGTCTAGAGTCGGACTGTAAACAGTTCCTAAACTAGTTCTTTCACAATACATTCCGTACAGATCTTCAGGGAGAACTCAGAAATACCCAGGGGTGACAAGCAGACTTTCTACACGCAGCATGGCTCGCGTAACAAAAACTCATATACAATATAAAAATGTTTAAAAGAGTAAAGACGAAAAATTAAAGTTTATTTTGTCAAATTGTGATCGAAAGTCATAGCTTGCCGGGATAATCCGCCTGACTTCCCATACATCTGGATATAAGGAACAAAGTCCAAAGAAACTGGATACTCGCCAATTGTTCGAAATTTTTTATCCTTATATCTTTGTCACATGATGTAGAAGACCTTTAATATTTCAAACTATGATTTCTTGCAGTCTCAGTTTACACCATCAGGTTGCAAAGATATGGATTTAAGCAAATTAGGTTTTGTGGCGAATGTTCAGTTTCTTTATACGAAATAACTGTTACAACTTTTGAAACATTCACATAAATTTCACTGGAATTGGGGATCTTTCATTTGGCGTACAGTCCCGGTTTGCACTACATAGTCCGTAATTGCAGTACTGTACAGCTTTACTTGATTTGAACCGGAGTTACTCGCCTCAAACTTTAATTTTATAATCCTATAAATTCTGATTGATAAAATAAAGTCAAAGTTTGAAATATCATTGATTTACACAATCCGGTTACAAAAATATAGGGATTAGAAAATTAGCGTTCGAGGCTAGAAATCAGTTCCTTTTCTTTCTGAAACTTTCTAAACCTAGTCTTCAATTTTTATGATATCGAGAAGAAACGATAGATGCATTTTCTATCATGTTGTTACAATGTTTTATTTCATTGGTTTATGCTTTACTTTTCAGTTTTATGAGATCATGAGTCGATGGGAAACGTTCTTTGTTTGATAAATTCATAGCTTTTTACTTTAAAGAGACTCCGCAAGAATTTGAGAAGCTCGTTTTGGTCAATATCTTCGGTTAACGTAAATCTTGGCAAACTGTAATAGAACTATTTTGTTCTGTGTGAAATTCATACAATAAAGCTCTTTGCTCATATAATAATATTTAGCCGGCCAAACGGCTGGACTGAATTGTCAGAACTTTTTTAGGGAAACCAGGGGGTAATATAGGCTAAAAAAATGAAATTTATTTACTTCAAAAATCTAATTTTTTAAAAATTCCCGGGCAACGCCGGGCATTTCAGCTAGTTTGTCATATTCTTGGGGCACTTTTGGAGCACATTTTAAGGAATAAATATTTTCTTGATCTAACAGATATATAGTTTATAACAGATATATACTTTATAACAGATATATAGTTTATAACAGATATATAGTTTATAACAGATATATAGTTTATAACAGATATATACTTTATAACAGATATATAGTTTGAAATATCTAAGGTCTACCCCATTGGGTTAAAAAGATATAGGGATAAAAAAATAAGAGTGTGATGGCAAAAACGCAATTTATTAAAAAAACAAAACAATGAAGGTTAAAAAACACTAACAACAAAACTATGACCACCCCTAGTTGTATAATGTATGGCGTTCTTTTCCCATCTGATCTATTTTAACTAGATTTTACGATTCCTAAACATAAATATTCCCTGTAAAGTATAATATTTGTATCCAACATGGATGTTTTATAAAACGTAAACATGCAGTGTGAAGTATAATACTTGCATCCAACATGGATGTTTTATCAAACGTAAACATTCAGTGTGAAGTATAATATTTGTATCCAACATGGATGTTTTATAAAACATAAACATTCAGTGTGAAGTATAATACTTGTATCCAACATTAATGTTTTATAAAACATAAACATTCAGTGTGAAGTATATTACTTGTATCCAACCATGGATGTTTTATAAAACGTAAACATTCAGTGTGAAGTATAATACTTGTATCCAACATGGATGTTTTAATTTATCCTATTTATCCTATTTATCCTATTTATCCTATTTATCCTATTTATCCTATTTATCCTATTTATCCTATTTATCCTATTTAAAAGGGAAAATGACAAATAAATTAACATAAATCATCTATCAGAATAATTTGAAGGTTTACAACATTGGGTTGCAAAGATTTAGGGATTAAAAAATCAGAGTTTGTAGACCTTAGATATTTTTTGATTATGAATTCTATTTTATCAAAGGTTTACACTATCAGGTTGCAAAGAAAATTTTAGTATGTGGCAAAAAACTCATTTTTTACACTGATTTTCTAAATTAAAGCATTTTTTATTAAGTAGATTAAAGGGACTGTAAAGGAAAATGAAAGGGGGTATAGGCTGAAAGTTAATCACTTTAGCTCTTGATCGTGACCCATGAAAGTTTTATCTGATGTTCCTGTCTCGAGAAGTTGATATAAAACTTAAATCACGTGACCAGAACTATCACCAATGGCAGAGCAGTATACTGGTCACGTGTCTCCGCCTATATCACGTGACCACTTTACTGCACTGCCATTGGTGGAATTTTTGGTCAAGCAATACGGACATATAAATAATATCATGAATTAAATCTATAAAAAATAGAAATAACAAATATAAAATTAGAATTGGAGTAAACCTAAGTTACAATTAGCTTTCTCTGGGATATCATCGTTTTCAGATTGGTTGCATATTTGCTGAATTTGATCTTTTTAAACCCACTACTTTTATACACAATTGTAATTATATTAATTTTCGTATAAATTTGACAAAGTTGTAAATCAATTTCTCGAGATAGAAACATTAGATATAACTTTCATGGGTCACGATCTAGAGCTAAAGTGATTAGCTTTCAGCCTATACCCCCTTTCATTTTTCCTTTACAGTCCCTTTAAATACAGATTTTTTAAATAAGTAGATTATCTTTACTTCTAGGTTTCTAGATTAGTAAATTGTCTGATTTCTAGGTTCTAAATTAGTAGATTATCCGATTTCTAGGTTTCTAGATTGGTAAGGTTTCCTAACTTTAAGGTTTCTAGATTAGTAGATTTCCTGACTTCTAGGTTTCTAGATTAGTAAATATCCACACTTCTAGGTTCCTAGAATAGTAAATATCCAGACTTCTAGGTTTCTAGATTAGTAGATTTCCTGAGTTATAGGTTTCTAGATTAGTAAATATTCTAACTTCTAGGTTTCTAGATTAGTAAATATTCTGTTTTTTTAGGTTTCTAGATTAGTAAATATCCTTACTTCTATGTTTCTAGATTATTATATATCCTGATTTCTAGGTTTCTAGAATAGTATCAACTAACAATTTGGATATATGCGACAAAACAGAAAAAATTCAAAAGATTGAATCATTAAAAAAGATTTTACGAAACTAATTTCAAAGCTTTGGGCGTCGAAGATAGGAAGAATTTTGTGCGTATTTTAGCATAAACGCTTGGAGATAATTCAATATGATATGGGATTCTCTGACTTTGTATAGAACTTGTTTATTTAAATAATTAAGAACCATATATTAAAAACCAATAAACAATTTCGAAATAGAGGCGCGCGAGTTCATATCAATATTGTTAAAATATCTATTAGATTATTTAAACTTTGTATCTAATAAAATATTTTCACAGCAAGAAGTACAATATGAATAGGTGATGGTGCGAACTAACTGAAATAAGTGTTTAGTTTGAAACCCGGAGAAAAACAGGTAGATGAACCGTATACCTCGTATACCTGTAGTGTGAACCATACATTTTTTCATATCATCCTTTAATAATATGGGGGGGGGGTGATAGGATGAAAGCAGGGGTTTCATGAGAAATACACATCTGAGACGGGATGGAGGGAAAGGGGGGGCATGCTGTCAATATATCATTTTGTTTAAACTAAAAAAACCGCCCCGAAAAATGTTTATGAACAATCGTCTGTTACAAGTTTAGTTGCCCCAAGCTCTTTTTCTTCACTCTTCAATTTTCTCTCATTAAATTTCTTTTCGTAAAATACTTTTTTGTGCTCTTTTGTTTTCTATATTCTCTTAATATGCATATTATACTTTTCTCTACTCTTTTTATAATTCTTTCATACATTTCAACTTGTTTGTTTTTCGAAATGATTTTATTTTTCGAAATTATATTATTTTTATAACTAATGATTTAATAGTTTAGGGGCTTCTCTTTGTGCCATGTTCTGACAAAAATGTATTATACTTTTCTTTTTCGACCTAATTTAATGTTATTTTCTGTAAAACTAAACTAGTGTAAACTAGTTTTACACTTTTTCTCCTTCTCTAAAATAAAAAATGTTAATACGTACATTGAAGAGGCCTGCAAGTCCTCCTCTTTTACTTGCCTCTTCAAATACAACATTTATTAATAATAACAGATCAAAAACATCATCTTAGAAGTAAAGGTTTCATTCTTTAAAAAAATAATCTCTAAAGCTGTTTTATTTCTATTCTATTCTCAGTAAATGTGGTCTGTTCAACTTTAAGCGGATGTAATGTGTTTTACGTCCTACAAAATGGCGTTGGAAATTTACATGTCGTCTTCGGTAGTGTCCATGCTGCGTTTTCCAATTCTCAGCTGACTGAGGGATCTTTTTCCTAGTCTCAGTTTCTTCAAGTTTCGTTTCCCAATCCTAAGCTGGCTCAAGGTACGTTTTCCAAGCCTAAAAAAACGTTTTGTGTGTATAAATTCTTTTTTAAATACTCAAGTACCCGACGTTGAAATTTAAAAAAAAATTTTTTTAGCCAATGTTATCCCAAAAGTTTCAATGGGGTTCTTCAAAACTATTTTAGCTAATTTTATCCAACTGTTTGGCCAGGACCAACATTTATATGAGCGAAGACCTTTATTAGAAAGATTTGTAACCTGAGTTGATTAAGAGCACGTGTTGGTCGGCTAGATCTTGTTGCTCTGATATATCCTAATTTTAAAGATTTATAATCAATTATTCTGAGAAAGCAAATTATTACTGAAAAGCGTTTATACGTAGACCTTTGTTGTCGGTCTTTCATATTTCGACCCGTGAATTTGTTTCCTCAAAAAGTCAAAGTTTGAAATAACAAAGGTTTACACTATTTGGTTGTTAAGATATAGGGAACAGAAAATCATTGTTTGCGGCGATTGTTCCGTTCGTTCTTTGGTTTGTTGTTACTTGAGTTACAAAATGTTTTCTCTTCATACCATTCATTCCATGGTAATCTTCATAGAATCTTTTCAGCATCATTTCTTCATCCTGCTTCAGATCTCTTTTCTGCTTTATAGTTGGCAGACTGTCTAGTTCATAATCATCTTCCTCACCAGTGTCTTCCCTTAAAAAAGTTTACTCCATACGGTTTATTTAGGGCAAACTGATCGGTCCTTGTCCCAGAAACCTGTCACTTTCGATCCCAATTTGACCAGTTAAAACATCATTTCTTCTTCTTCTAAATTCTTTCTTTTCACAGGATACGATTTAAATGGAAAAGTAGAGAAGACAACTCTGTAAGTAGAGAAGACAACTCTGTAAGTAGAGAAGACAACTCTGTAAGTAGAGAAGACAACTCTGTAAGTAGAGAAGACAACTCTGTAAGTAGAGAAGACAACTCTGTAAGTAGAGAAGGCAACTCTGTAAGAAGACAACTCTGTAAGTAGAGAAGACAACTCTGTAAGTAGAGAAGACAACTCTGTAAGTAGAGAAGACAACTCTGTAAGTAGAGAAGGCAACTCTGTAAGTAGAGAAGACAACTCTGTAAGTAGAGAAGACAACTCTGTAAGTTGAAAGTTGGTTGAATTCTAAACCAAAACGCGAAGGAATTTAAATTGAAAAAGCCGAATTCATCTTCATAGAAATTGTTTAACTTGTCCGAATATAATCTAGCCCATCCCATTTTATAACACATAATACTTTGCGGTAATATGTTAGTTTGATTCAAATCTAAAACAAATTCTAATTTAGCTTTTTTTATTTTATTCCAAGAGAACCTGGCTTGAGTGAAGCAGTTGTCACAGTTTAAATTAGGTTGCAGATAAGGACGTCCATCCACCTTGAGAACTCCAGATCCGTCCTGTCCAACCACAGGATCATATCCTCTCTATACAAGTCATATTATAGTTCATGGAGAAGAAAATTTGTTAAATACTATAGAGTTAAAGGGACTGTATGCGTTTCTCTTTATTTAAATTGGTTGTTTTTTTCATTTGTGGTTTCTCTGCAAAAGTAACTTGCCCATTTTTTGTTCATACAAAAACAATGGAGAAATAAAAAATTTTCGAACAAGAAAAACGAGGTCATCTTCCTCATTTTTATCAAATTAAAGTTTTAAGGGTACCTTTGTAAATCGAGCATTGCTATCATTACATGAGGGGTCACTTAAAATTATGCTTACAGTCCCTTTATGGTCCGTGGATAAAACAAGTTTAAAAAGTCCTGGTTAAAAGTTTAGTGAATATGAACTTTAAAACCCATTTTTACCAATTAAATGAAAATTTTTTTGAATATATATTTATATATGGTCTCTTACGCTATTTTTAAAGGAAAATATTCAGACATTGACAGGAAATACTTCGTTGTGGTCCTTTTTATGTGAGACGACTGCAGATGTTTTACGTGAGATGACTGCAGATGTTTTACGTGAGACGTCTGCAGATGTTTTACGTGAGACGACTGCAGATGTTTTACGTGATGCGTCTGCAGATGTTTTACGTTAGACGACTGCAGATGTTTTACGTGATGCGTCTGCAGATGTTTTACGTGAGACCACTGCAGATGTTTTACGTGATGCGTCTGCAGATGTTTTACGTGAGACCACTGTAGATGTTTTACGTGATGCGTCTGCAGATGTTTTACATGAGACCACTGTAGATGTTTTACGTGAGATGTCTGCAGATGTTTTACGTGAGATGTCTGCAGATGTTTTACATGAGACCACTGTAGATGTTTTACGTGAGACGACTACAGATGTTTTACGTGATGTGTCTGCAGATGTTTTACGTGAGACCACTGTAGATGTTTTACGTGAGATGTCTGCAGATGTTTTACGTGAGATGTCTGCAGATGTTTTACGTGATGCGTCTGCAGATGTTTACGTGAGACCACTGTAGATGTTTTACGTGAGATGTCTACAGATGTTTTACGTGAGATGTCTGCAGATGTTTTACGTGAGACGACTGCAGATGTTTACGTGAGACGACTGCAGATGTTTTACGTGAGATGTCTGCAGATGTTTTACGTGAGACTAAGATTCCTAAATGTCGTCTTCCGTTCCCACATTTTTATGGTTGCCACTTGTGACTTACCAGCACGTTTTTATTGCTGATATCTTTTGTTAGTTGATTATAATAAAGTCACAAGTCTGAGATTTTCTTTTTGATAAAATAAATAAATGGAAGAAAACTGGGTAGAAACGTATTGGACTGTATAATGCACTAGTGCACTTTGCACAAAATATACGGATGAGGATTCCTTCTAATCCCTTCTCCGTCTCATCTGGAACTTAATTTTACATTAAATGGAGAGTGTGCAAAAAATGAAAATTGTAAATTATAATATTTTTTCTTTCCGATTTTTCTGTAAAGAGATTTTGGTTGAAACATTTTATAATAACATTATAACCGGATCTCATTTTTTACAAACATCTCTTTTTTTAAATAAAAGATTTGTGGGTGGTTTACAATTCAAAAGGAAATAATGTTTTTATAAAAAAAAACATTTGCGTTAAAAGCCGTGGCCGACATTATTCTAATTTCAGGAGTTTTTTTCATGACACTTTTGTGATTTGTTTATGGCAATGCTTAAACGAAATGTCATTTAAAGTTTTGTTAAAAATCTATTTTAGGCACTTACATTTTTCATCATATAGAAGTGGTTGAGGAGAGGAGCTGGAAGGAAGAATGAGTTAACCAGCCGGCTGCATGCTAGGGTCAACAGAGTAGAGACTACAAGATGCATTGAATTCGGAATGAGCCCTTGTGAGCCGCCAGGTTTCTTATATATTCGGAGAGAAGGTCCCTTCGGACCAAGATTAAGTAGATTATCATGCTCTTTCTTTTCCATAATTGTTTTAGTTGGAAACCATATCTATAATTAAACCTAACACGTAAATGCTCCACACCACCTTTCTAGCTTCTCCCCCTCCCCCCTTTTTATGGCCTTGAATACCACTTCTCCCCATTGCATCCCTCCTTTCACTTCAACCCTACCATTGCCATTTAACGGGAAACTTTTTAAATTTCTCATCCTTTCACAACACTTCAAGGGAGTTAAATAGAGCAACGATATCCTACCCATTGAATCCCAGTGAGTTAAAAATTTTCTTCCCATAACTTCCATTCTCATTTGTGTCCCTAAGTTTGTACTCCCCGTACTTTCCTAAACTCTCCTTGACCCTGCTCCCTCAACCATTTTCATTTTATCCTACCCTCCCCTTAGCCCTCTCCCCTTTATCCTATCCCTCTTTAAACCTCTCCTCTTTATCCTACCCCTCCCTCAAACCTCCACCCTTTATCCTACCCCTCCTTCTCCCCTTTATACTACCCCTCCTTGAACCACTCCACTTTATCCTTCCCCTATCCTTCCCCTTTATACAACCCCTCCTTGAACCACTCCCCTTTATCCTACCCCTCCCTTTTATACTACCCTCCTTGAACCACTCCCCTTTATCCTACCCCTCCTTGAACCACTCCCCTTTATCCTACCCCTCCCTCTCCCCTTTATACTAATACTTCCCCTCCTTGAACCACTCCCCTTTATCCTACCCCTACCCCTTCCCTTTTTACTACTCCACCTTGAACCACTCCCTTTTATCTTACCCCCCCATCTCCCCTTTATCCTACCCCTCCTTGAACCACTCCCCTTTATCCTACCCCTCCCTCTCCCCTTTATACTAATACTACCCATCCTTGAACCACTCCCCTTTATCCTACCCCTACCCTCCCCTTTATACTACCCCACCTTGAACCACTCCCCTTTATCCTACCCCTCACTCATCCATCTACCCAACCCTTCTTCATCCTTTATCAAGTTAAAAAGTTTACAACACTATAGTTATTGTAAATATGGAGTATAGCTGGAGTACTCGGCGTTTCCGAGGTTTTTGTTATTATTTATTCATAGTTACTCCCGCCTGGTGTTGTCCGTGGAATGTCCCAAAAAATTAGCTATATATACTCCCATGCGAATTTATAATTTATAAATATGCGAAAAAAATACCAAAGTGAAATATGAGAAAAAGTTAAATGTTTTAAAAAGATTGTTTTTGGTTCGTTTTGATTATCGTTTTCATTTTTCCTTTAAAACATGAAAATATAAAAATGTAATATATGATCTATTTTTGAAAATGTTCAGGGATCAAAGGAACCTTGCAACAAACTCTTGATTTAAAATTTCTTTATATTTTCAACCTGTTGTTTGAAATATCAAAGGTTTACTTCATTAAGTTCATTCAAAATATAAGGATTAGAAAATTTTAGTTTGTGGCAAGAACACAGTTCCTTTAAATGTTAATGAGTTCAAAACTACTAGATCCTTAGCTACACTTCTAGTTAAAAGATAGAACGAAGATGACAACAATTCTACAGTTTTCTGGTGACTACTGTACATTGTACAAGGTTATAAACTGCGGAAATGGATGAGATATCTTGTAGTTCCTCCTGAACAGGAAACACAGTGAATTGTAACAGATTTATAGCATCAGGGTGTATGCACCATTGGTCTTAGTGAATATATACTTTTCAGCACATTTAGTTGTCATGGGGGGGGGGGGGTGATTTGAACCTAGACACACTCAATTAGAGAGGGGTCCTCCCTCCCCTTCTGTCTGCAGTAATGAAGGTTGTTCATCTACAATTGATATTTTCTTTTTTCTGTTACATTTTTTCACTTTGGTCCATTTGAATTGAAAAATATTTGAATTTTGCAGATGAACAATATTTTAGTATATTGTTTGGTCATTGTTTAAAATATTAGAATATCTACAGCTCAACTGAAAAAAAGCATTTCAACTATATATATATATATATATCAACATAATGCTGCTCACTGTAGCACGTCAAAAGTGATATCCAGGGGCGTATACAGGAATCAGTAAGGTGGGGGGGGGAGCTAAATTGTATTTTTTTTCTTTCCAGGGGGGGGTAGGCTTAGCACCTGGTGGGGCCTGAAAACTCTAACGGAAAACTTGGCGTCATTTTATACAAAAGTTGCGCCTCCTCTGTTTGATAAAATTTTTCTTATTTTGTCCAGGCCCAGCAGAAAATCTTTAGAACTTCAGGTCTTTCCATGAATAACATTTTTTTTCATTTATTTTAAAACCAGCAATTGGGGGTTTAATTTTATTCTTCCCTTTCTTAATCTCCTTACTTTTTTAACTTTTTTATTTCCTAAATTTCTTTGAATAATTAATGTTTCAAAATTCCTGCAGTATTGCATTTTTTATTGTTTTATTATTTTGGAATAACCATCTCGAATTTTAAGAATAATTTAGTTGAACATATATCCTTGTTAGAATCTTGCATTGGAAAACTGACACCTCCCCAGCTGCTCCCAAATTAAGTTAAAAGACTGAAAATATTTATTTATGCAATTCCATTTTTAATCTAAAACAAAGAGAAAAAATTTAATTTCTTGACTTTAAACCTAAAATAAACAAGAATGAGCAAATATCTTACCTTACCTTTGGGAAGTTATCACTTGGGAAGTTGTTCATTTGGGAAGTTTCCACTTGGGAAAATTGTCCCAATTGGGAAAATGCCTGAGCAAAAATCACGGTAAAAAAACATATTGTCCCATGGATAACACAAGGTGATTGGTTGGATATATCAAGGGATCATTTCTTTGCCATAAACTTTAATATTCTAACCACTATTTCTTTTCAATCTTCTGTACACCCCAACGTTTTGTGTTGCGCCATTGTCTTAAAAACTTGACTATGGGTAACCCTGTAAACCATAGTGAACACTTATTTTTCGCGGGCTATTCTCTCAAAATTTAATAAAGTAGTTTGGAGATAAATATGGGCGAAAAATTCCATGAATTGCATTTTGTTTTTAAACTTTGTATCAGCTTTAAAAAAAATAAACGCCTGACAGAATAATACGATATAAAGATTAAGCAATGTAGAAAGCGCTTCAATCTTCATACAAAAGTTTTTACCTTATGAGTAAACACAGTTATTTATTTATGTATTTTTTCCAGGTTATTTAGACAAATACTTTTAAAACACAGTAAATGTGGGAGTAATAGAATTTTAATATTTGTGTAAAAGTTTCTCTAGCGTATGCCTCAACATTTGTCCTTTTTAGCTAGGAAGAACCTAATATTGAAAAGCGTTCTCAATGCATCCATTACTTTCAAGTATTTGTTAGAAACCCGATAAAAGAGATTATAGGTTCATTAAGTTGGATTCAACATAAACGAGGCACGTTTCCACACAGCGTAGGTGAAAAATGAACCAAATTACTCACTATCACTATTCTCGATTCGTCATGAACTATTTTACAGTCTTTATGAAAAATGTTCTTTAATTTTTTAAAATCTTCTCGTTTTAATAAATCTTATTAATTCCAAAAAAAGATTAGCCACGCCTCAATAGACTCTTGGGTGTTAAAGAGATCCTTCTCGTTTTTCTATTCTGATAATTCATGTTTTCCTAAAGTAGAAATGCGCAAGTGACTTTTGTGGAGAATCCACAATTGAAAATAATCAAAATCTCTGAATATTGATATTTAAATCATCCTTGATTTGCGTAAAGGGTCTCCTTTTTTTCAAAGTCCCATTTTCATAAATAAAAAATCGTTCTTTTTTCGTTCGTTATTTATCATTAAGTCGATCAGTACTTTTTGTCTGTTCAAATTAATCAAGCAGTCCCTTTTCTAAAACCTCGCGAGCATCCCCTCCCCATCTTTAAAAGATAAAAAATATGTTTAAATAATTAATATTTTTTCACTCGCTTATATTTCTTGTTTGACGTATAATCAAGTCATGCAAGTTTAAAGCTTTATTTTAAGTTAGAACAAGTTTAATTTTAGAGACGAGTAACAAGCTCAGGTATTAAAGAATACTGTACCCAGGACTGGAGGTTTCATAAATCCTTTATTTAAAAATAGGTTTTTAGAAACCTGTATCTAAGATTAGATTTAAGAAACCTGTATCCAAGATTAGATTTAAGAAACCTGTATCCAAGATTAGATTTAAGAAACCTGTATCCAAGATTAGATTTAAGAAACCAGTATCTAGGATAAGGGTTTTAGAAATCTATATCCAGGATTAGGGTTTTAGAAATCTGTATCCAGGATCAGGGTTTTAGAAATCAGTATCTAGGATTAGGGTTTTAGAAATCTTTATCCAGGAATAGGTTTAAGAAACCAGTATCCAGGATTAGAGTTTTTAAAACCTGTATCCAGGATTAGGTTTCTAAAAACCAGTATCCAGGAAAAGGGGTTAAGAAACCTGTATCTAGGATTAGGGTTTTAGAAACCTGTATCCAGGACTAGGTTTCTAGAAACCTGTATCCAGGATTATGTTTCTAGAAACCTGTATCCAGGATTATGTTTCTAGAAACCAGTATCCAAGATTATGTTTCTAGAAACCAGTATCCAAGATTATGGTTCTAGAAACCTGTATCCAGGATTAGGGTTCTAGAAACCGGTACCCAGGATTAGGGTTCTAGAACCCAGTATCCAGGATTAGGGTTTTAGAAACCTGTATCCAGGATTATGGTTTTAGACATCTATATCCAGGATTACGGTTTTAGAAGTCTGTATCCAGGAATAGATTTAAGGAACCAGAATCCAGGATTAGAGTTTTTTAAACCTGTATCCAGGATAAGTGTTTTAGAAACCTGTTTCCAGGATTAGGTTTCTAAAAACCAGTTTTCATGGAATAGGGTTTAAGAAACCTGTATCCAGGATTAGGGTTTTAAAAAACTGTATCCTGGATTAGGGTTCTAGAAACC